TTTGCTCCAGTCCTGCCTTCTTCTTGACTCAATCTTTCTTCACCTATATCCATCCATCACCCCATTGTTCTGTTTTATTGGCTTCCTCTTTCTCAGCCCACTGACAAATTTGTCCCATCTCCTTCCATCACTCCACTTTCAGGGAGATCCCTCAGACCTCCTGGTCACACCACCATGTCCACAGCACTCTGCATGAAAACACTCAGGTGCTTAGCACTGAAATTGACCCCCCCCCCCCGGCTAAGCCTCAGCCCCATTCCGTCTTCCCTTGTCCTCGTCTTCAGACTTCCTTCACTTAATGCTTCCCTCATGCCCCCATTCCGCACTCTGTTGCCTCCCATCCCTTTCTTCCCGCTGCCTGTCTTCTGTGCTTCCTGAATTTTTCATCCCTGCCCCCTCTTGGGTGCCACCCCAATATGGCAAGGGAGGCCGGGAGTGTCAGAGAAGCCGTGAGTGATACCGGAAGGAGGCCGCCCCCTCTATCTGGTCTCCTAGCAGGGCCCAAAGCAGAAGGACCAAAGATGCCAGAGAAGCTCCACCAAGGTGTCCACATCAGCAGAAGAGAATGGAGATCTCTACTTGTGATGGGATGGAGACACCCCTGAAGGACAGCTATGGGGAAGCAGAGGTGGCTGAAGGTGTCACAGGGATGCGGACAACTGTGGCGACACTCCAGCTAACTCTGGGTGATCCTGCACAGGAGACGGTGGCGGTGAACCTCCTCTGAATCGTCTTACCTTTCCAATGCTAAGATGAAGCCACCCAAAGGAAGCAAGACTGGATTTTTCCACAAAGGAAGCTGCAGCCTGGAGCTTACAAGAGCTGTCCTTGACTGGACTCCTGGGACCAACCTTCCATGTGCCCCACAAAGGTATTTGCATTCTTAAGACCCTGTAATCCCAGCCAAATGGGTGCCTTTGGAAACATCTGACTGCTGATAATGATGTTTGTCAAGCAGCCGGACTGTTTATGAAGATGCCGTGTCTGAACACGAGGTCTGAAACCCAGAGATGGCCTTTCCACATGGCTTCCCCAGCCAGAACTGTGTGACCTTCTGCTTCATAACCTCTTCAGAACCCAGAAAACAAAATGGCAGGCAGGACACAGCTCAGCTTTCCGGAAACATCCATCTTCCTACTGCATTTTGTAGCACAGGGAGTGTTTCCGAGATGTCCCGAAAGAACATGTTTCAAGGCCACGGACTGTGTTTTAGTTGCTCCCTGGGGAAGTGCAAACATTTGTTTCCTTCGGTGCAGAGCCATGGCTGTTTTATTGTGGGAAATGGAGAAAGGGAGTGCTTGCCGGCTCTCCCTTTCTCTGCTTCCTAATCCTAGGTGGGAACTTGAAATACAGACTCCCACTCAGTGAGAAACTCAAATGGTTTTTTGTCCTTAAACATGGTATACGGCTACTGTGTGCACCTAGCCAAACCGGGTGTTCCCGGAGTTTCCTGACTCATTTTAAATGAAAAGCTTCCAAAGGGGGAGAAAACCTGTAAGACACAGCTCAGGGAATGCCTTTCCTCTTCAGCGGTTTTTCTGCTCCACACTGTGCTCTCTTGAGCTGGATTTTGGCTTCATGGGTTCCTGCATCTTCTTCTCCAGGGAGAGAAAAACTGCTGGGGGAAGAAATTGATTCTGATCACGGGCTATTGAACCCTTTCCCCTCCAGTTCCTCTGCTACTGCTTGTAACTCTCCGGAGCCGGGCTCTGTTAAAAACAAAGACACGCACATGAAACACTAAGGCCAGGCGTCCTTAAGGTCCTTGCCCACCTCTGCGGGTCCAGCTGTCCCCTGCAAAGCTCGGAGGAAAATGCCCAGGACTTTGGCGTAGGGTGGGGAGGCGCTTTTGAGCTGGGAGGGGGCGATTTTCAAGGCGGCCAGGAGTGCGCACCTCACCTTTGCTTTCCAAAAGCGAAGCTGCTGCTTCAGGGAGAAGCTTGGCTGCACAGTCCGGGTTAAGAGAGTCTCGAAGGTCTCCGAGGCAGATGCCACATGATGCCATCACATGGCCCGTGTGGGGGGAGCACCGTGAGCATGTGCCGTGACAGCTTCCCTCTGTGCAAAGGGTCTATCTCAGGTAGGGAGCGACCCCGATGTACCAAGCTGGGGACCCCCAGTGCAGCTTTTGCCTTGGAGAGTCCGTGACTTCTTGGCCTAGCAGCAGCTCCAGGGGTTCGTTTCTGCTTGGCCCGGCTGCCTTCTGCCCGACCTCCTCAAGCTTTCTTGTCCTGGGAGGAATGGGGAACCATGGGACCAGTCGTTTCGGGTTCTTCCCTGCTGCCAGTCGGCTGCCTCTGGCCCCAGCAAGGTCCAAGGGAGGTATAATACGCTGCTCTTTCAGGACCAAGGTTGGCAAGGACCGCTGGAAGGTCCTCTTTTTCCTTGGTCCCCTCGCATGCTTTCTTGGTGTTGGATAGCAGCAGAGCTGTCATCTGACCTGGGGCGGGGGTTCCCATAATGCTCCAGCTGCACTGTAACTCTGGAGCATTGTGGGGATTTTAAATGGCGGCACCAAGGCATGGCCAGCAGGTGTGGGAGGCTCTGTCAGGGTTCTGGCCAGGGAGAAGGGAGGCTCTGCAACAGCCTCCGAGGGCAGCCCGCATGGACAACTCTGCGGTAGCCAAGACTCGAGGTTACAAACAATCCCAAGTACCAGCCAGGAAGAAATAATTAACAATCCATCGCATTCTCCTCTTAGGTTTAAAGAACTGTTTCTTTAATTCTGATATTTGTGTCAAGTACAAAAACCAGTGAAATAAACAAATAAACAAAACTCAGTTCGTTGTTTACCCACATTCCCCGTTCCCCACCCCCACCCCGGAAACAAAAAGCAGAGAGAGACTCCCCTGCTTTTGCCCCCAGCAGCTCCCCCTCCGGTCCCAACAAGACACTGGACATTTATACAGGTTCACATACAGTAGAGAAAGGACGACACAGAGCAGTATCTCTGCTGCAAACTTGGGTCGGTTTTAAACCACTTGAGCCGCAGTTCTTGGGAACGATAGTTTGGTGCGACTCTCACCCCTGCTGACAAGAACTACAGTTCCCAGGAATAATGGATGGCTGATTAAACCAGTTTAAGTTTGCAGTGCAGGTGTGCCCAAAGACACATCACTAAAAATCGAATTCTCTGAGACACAATAAATACATTCAAGAAAAAAACACCCTCCCACCCAGTTTATTGCATGGTATCCTATGGAATCCTCGGCCTTGGGGGTCAACGGGAATCAAGGGGGTGGGAAAGTGGCTGGAGCCTTCGGCATGTAGCAGATATCCAGAAACTTTTGTGTCTGTTGGGGGTCTGTGGGTTCCACATGTCAGCAAAGCTCACTCCTTGAGACTCTGAGTGGCTCTCCCATCTTCTTGCTTGAGGGACGGCGTGGCTCCCGCACGCACCTCCTTTGCATAAAGCTCCGGGGGACTGCGCCAGCGAAGTGTCCGGGGCAGAGTCTATTCCTAACCTGCCGCCCTTCAGGTACATTGGAGATCTCCTCCCATCACCCCCAGCCAATGTGGCCACCACAGCCCAACTCACCTGGACGCTGGCAGGTTGGGGAAGGACAGGGGTGGGATGCTGCCAGCTGTGGGGCAGCCCCTTGTGCTCAGCTGCACCCCACATACATCCTTCCAAGGGTGACTGCAGGGGGAACCAGATGTGACCTGGGACCCTTTTAAGCAGCTCCAAGGCTGGAGTTCAGTTCTCCCCATGCCGTGAAGTCTGAGGCAACCAAGTTGCAGGGCTACGCAGAAAGGAACAGGGCAACTTGCAAGGGCTGTGGTGGCCACGGGCCGGAAGCCAATTAAGCCAGCCCACTGGCCCATGCAGTCCTTGCAAGTTCCCCTGGGCTCCCTTCCCATACGAAGCAGGCTTGCCACATCTGGAACTCCACTCCCTCTATCAAGGGTCCAGCAGGTGAAAAATGGCCAGGTGTTGAAGGTGGGCGTGCATAAAGCCACCCTTGGTGGGGACCTTAAACGCTGGTGCCTCTCCAAGTGCAGAATGAACCAAGCAAAATGCAGCGCACGGCACAGCTTAGAAGAGCCCTCAAAGTGTGTGTGTGTGGGGGGGGGGGCACAGCTGGCTGGCTGCCACTGCAAACCTGAAGGGTCGCCGGGCACCTCGCAAGATGATGGGCTGCCATTCAGCCTGGCACGCAATAAGGACAGTCCTTCCGTAACCAGACGGCATCAGTCTAAGGTTTGCAGTTGGGATAAACTGTGGCATTAGATTTGGGAACCAGCATCCAGGCTATTTTCTACCCAGAACGAGAACAATGACGTGGCTAACCATGTGAGTGGAGACGTCCTCGGTTCAAACCTGGCAGTGACCACAAACTCAGTAGGTGGCCCAGGGCAAACCACTCTTGCTGAATCTCAGCTCTTCTTCCCTGATTTATAATACTGACCTGCCTCGAAAAATGCCATAAGTAGAAATTTGACCACCTCCATCTCCACCCCAGTTCCTCAGTTACCTGCAGAAATTGTGGGGTTGGAACTGGGATCGCTTTGCTTTTAGCAACAGGGGGAATAAACCTGACGTGTGCCACCAAACGCACCTTCTAACGGCTTGGGTCCTGGCTACCTGAACGAGCGCTTACGTCCGTATATGCCCGACCACCCTTTGAGATCTGCGGGAGAGTCCCTTCTCCGGGAACCCTCCAGGAAAGAAATTAGGAGAGTAAGTACTCGGAGGAGGGCTTTCTCTGCGGTGGCACCCAACCTATGGAATTCACTCCCCAAAGAGGTCCGCCTGGCAGCGTCGTTACTGGTTTTTCGGCGTCAGGTAAAGACCTTTTTATTTAAACATCATTTTAATTGTTAAAATTTATGATCTGGCCAGGGCAACTTCTTCTTCCTTCTCTTTTCTCCTCCTATATTATTTATTTACTTATTTTATACTGCTAATTTTAATTTTATATTATTATGTTCGTAACTCAGTGTATTTTTTGTATTTTTGTATTTAATGGTAATTTATTATGTTCTATTGTATTTCAATGTATTTTATTGTGTTGTAAGCCGCCCCGAGGCTTCGGCAAGGGGCGGCATAGAAATGTTATAATAATAATAAAAAATTATAATAATAATAATAATAAATGTGCATTTTGATGCACATGTCAATGTTTAATCCCACCACAGCCTTGTGCAAAAGTATCTCCCTCTGGCAGTTCATGTCTTCCTTGACTGGACAATTTAAAACAATCTACGGAGAATAAGACACAAGGCAAATTTGCAATCAGCAACAACACTAGCAGAAATATAACAAACTGCTCTGGAAACTGAATCTGCTGGCTAAGCACAACACCTTTAGTTCTAAGAAGCACGTGTATTTTGTTAAAATCCATTCCATCTCTGTTTCGTGGATTGTCAGGTGTCTTTTGCTCCAGTGTTGATGGAATCGAGTTTGGTGTTTTTCCCCCTTTTTAAGGGACACACAAAAACTTCTTTTCTCTTTTCAAATACACATTTGAGCCAGTACCCTTTTTTAGCAGTGGAATTTGCATGAATAAGGACTTGTGCAAATATTCCCCCATTAACTAAACAAACTGGTCTGCAAGTCCATGGAATCCATGTGGCTGGAAAGCCTGGTCTGCCCTGGAATCAACAGATCAGAAACGTCAACATCCAAATCTCTCTGGCATCCCTATTTAGCGATTCTTGCAATGAGGCAACTGAACTGCGATATAAATATGAACCATCCATATGAGAAGTGTGTTTGGGGGGAACCAAGGACTTCTCCCACAAAAGACATTGCGACAACCTTTTAGATCAAAACACATGGGAAGTCATCAAATGTAGGAAGCAGCCGTTGTCAGCCGCCTAGGGATGCCGTGGCCCTAATAGGCAGCGTATCGTTTTAAAATTAAATTAAATTAAAAAGAGTTACAGAAATGTGGACTAGCAGCAGCACAGGGGCAGGTATTTCCCCATCTTGCCTCCGAGGTCCTCCGATCTCCCCATCACTTATTCCCAGGGCTTTCCCCAAGCCAGCTCTCTCCAGACACGGTGGCCAGCAACTCCTGGTACCCACGGCCAGCCTGGCCACTGTGGCAGCCTGTAGTCCAAGCAGTGCCAGGCTGGGGTGGGCTGCACTGCCTAATTCTTCTTCCTAGAGATGCCAGGCTAGAACCTGAGACCTTCGACGTGCTAAGCAGACAAGCTGCCACTGTGCTGTGCCCCCTCTCCCAGTCTTTCTGGGACTGGACACCAGCCCCACAGCCACCCCACAAATCCACGTTTCCAGCCTGGGCGCATGGCCTCTGTTTGCCATCCTTCCTCAGAAGCTCCACTGCCACAGCAAGGAGGGGCCCCTTGAATGCTGGAAAGTGTCTGCCGTCGTTCTGAGTAAAACTTGCCCCCCAAACAAACGTATTGTATGTGTGTCTATACTTAAAAGATGAAGTTGAAGCATTTTGCCTTCAAGCTTCCAGAATCTGCCCCACTTTCACGTTCACAAAAAAGAATACTTTCTGGGTCTTGGGTAGTGGTAATACTTAGCATTTATGCAGAATGTGTGCGGTGCTTGCTATCTTGCAACCTTCAGAACAACCCTGTAAGGTAGGCCAGTGGCAGTACCCCATATAGCAGAGAGGCCTCCACCCTACGAGGCCACCCAAAGAGATCACAGCAAAGGCAAGATCTGAACCTGGACCCCTCTTATCCACAGCTCCACCTCTCTGCTCTGCACTACCACGCCCCCAGCCCGGAGAAGCACACAGGTGAGCTTGGAGAGAAGTCTATAAGGTGAGTATCCAGGCATTTGCAAACTGCACAGGTGTCCGTCTTCCAGGGCCTCTCAGGAGAAAGTCACTGTCCACGGTCTTCTCACAGCCTGCGGTTTTGTCAAGGGAACAGTTTGGCGCCGCGATCGGAGCCCCCAAGGCCGAGTTTCAGCAGTCCGGGCGGTGCTGGCTGGTTGGCAGGACAAGAGTTCTCGGCCAGAGCACAACAGCTGGTCTCTACATGGACAGTGAGGAGTTAAAGGGGGGGGGGAGAAAGTGAGCGTGCCTCTCGGCCCCCTGGAGCCAGTCTGGAATCTATCCCTCTCCAGTTCCCAAGCATGCGGCCGAGGGGTGTCCAAACCTGTGGTCCACACAATCCAGCGGCGATGCAGGTCACAGTGATGCGCCAGCCTGCGGCAGGAGAAGCGGTTGCGCTAGGAGGAGCTTCCAAAGGAGGCTGGAGGGGGGGAGGAGGGGGGGGAAGAGGGGAGAAGCAGAGAGGGAATGAGCGTCGAAGGCACCAAGTGCGTGTGGCAGCGGGTGGATGCAGGAATTCAGTGCAAGGTCAAAGGGACCAGGACGTGGGCAAGATCGGCGGTTATTCCCCAGCGGTTATTCCCCAGCGCTTGTGGAAGGGAAGTCCCTGGTCTGGCCCACCCTCAGGATGAGATGGAGGGATTTTGCCCAGGGCAAGGAACCTCCCCATGGCCCTTGGGGGATTTTCAGAAGGGGATGTGGGTGGCTGCGATCTTGCGCAAGGCCTGGGGCGCTGGGGGGAGAGGACGGAGACGGCTGCTCCCACAGCAGACAGAAGCCACAGTGGAGCAGAAAAGAAATTGGAGGAGGGAGCAATTGGGGCTGGATTGAAAACTAGGGAAGAGCTGGCAAAACGGGGAGAGAAGAGCTTGGAAAGATGGGGAAAACGGAGACGAGAGCAGGATGGTGGGGAAAAGAGGGGGGATGGGAATCATGGGGCAGGAAGAGAGGAAAGGGGCAAAGAGGAGAGACCGAATTGCGGGGGGGGGGGGGGAAGGGGGAATGGGGAAGATGAGTGGGGGGTAAGCGGGTCGATGGGTTAAAGAAGGCAGAGTGCAGTGGTGGGATCTCTCTTCCGCTTCTCCACTTCAGGCACCGACATCACTTGCTGGGTGCCAGGCACCCAAAATCCAACTCCCCACCCCCACCCCCACCCCCACGATCCTATGCTAAAAATTAGCCAGAAGCCGAAATCTCAAAACCTCCTCCTGCAAACCCCTACAGCAAGAGCAACAGCAGGCCTACCTCCTTTTCTCCCTTTCTGGTCAGAATCCTCTGCCACTCATAGAGGTAAGGCAGGCAGAAGCTCAACAGGCCAAAGGGCCAGCGACCCCCTCTGGGCACCTGCCTGTCCCTGCCCCCTCGCGTCTGCACCTTTGGCGGAAGGTCTGAACAGGGGGGCCTCTGTGCCCACAGCAGTGCCACGTCTGGTGTGACTGGGCCCCCTGGTCACATGACAGGTCCAGCTCACACAAGCATCCCCATTCAGACCTTCCCCTAAATGCACAGATGCGGCACTGCTCCCACCTCAGTGATTCCAGGGATTCTGTGAACAGCTCCTAAGGCCCACTGGGAAAAGCTTGATCTGTTGAATTTCTGCCAGGAAAAGCAGCACCTGTTGAATTTCTGTCTGCCATGTACTTGTTGAAGGAACAGGAGCCCTAACCTAACCAGAAGGTCACAGGGTCCACGGGGCCTGGCAGTCCACGCCTCCCCTGCTCATGGACAGAGCCCTGCAAGGTCGCCATAGCCTTCAGCACACAGGCAAAGATCTGGGATGACTCCCGGGACCAGTCCTGGCTGCCACCCTACCTTGGCTGAGGAGCTGCAGGTTGTGGACCTCCTCCCGCACCTGCAGCTGCAGCACCTGCTGAAGGACTTCCTGGCGCTGAGACTCGTGGGTAATCCCCATGCGCTGCAGCTTCTCCGCATTCAGCCGCAGCAGCGCCCGACCTGCAAGTGGGGATGTGGCCATTAGGTTACGGTTCTGGCGCAGCTTTCTGGCCACTTCTCCATATGGAGGGTCGAAAAAAATGTTTTCCAGGGGAGGTGGGAAAGTATTCCTTAATGGGCGCCCCCCTCCCCCCCCCCCAGGCAGGCTGGCCATCTCACCTGTCATTTGGGAGGACAAGGCGTCAGAGAACCTGTGGGCACTTCTTCCAACTCCACCATCCAAAGGGCCAAGCCTGACGATCCGTGACTGGTGCCATTACGGCACATGAGCGCGACCATGTAAGCTGAGCCCACAACCCGGGAGAAGGGGTTGGACTCCGTCCCCCGACCCATGTGGTCTTGAAGCAGATCCCCCCACCCCTCCCTGAGCACACTGCACAACCAAAACCCCCCACAGATACCGAAAACTCAGCTGCACGCTTGATGTGTCCTGTAGTTTGGCTCAGGGCCTCAGGAGAAGCAAGTCTCTGTGTGGGAAGGATGCCCGAAATGCGGAGCCCTGCAAAATTGCCCACTGCACCGGGTCAAGAGAGGGAGCAGCACCCAGGCCAAGTTCTATGGCTTTACCAACAGCTCAGATATCAGCAGAGGATGCTCCTCACACCCCACCCTGACCTACTGCAGGGGAGCAAGCACATCTGTAGACGCAGCTGCAGAGACGAAGGGGATCTGCCACCCTCAATTTGCAGAAGGGGCTCCGGGGCCAACTGCCCAGATGAGTTCATGACGGGGATTTGATTCGAACCGGGCACCTCTGGCTCAATTTTGTAGCTTGGCTTTCCCCACCCTGGAGCGCTCAGGATGGGCTTAACTGCAACTCCCATCAGTCACAGCCAATATGGCCAGGGATTCTGGGAGCTACAGTCCCACCCCTGCTGCACCAGCTCTATTTATCAAGCAACCCTGGACCACCAGCACCTGCCCTGGCAGTTCCACGTGGTTCTCAGCCGCTGCTGGGCCTCAGCTGTGACGGACAGGTGGAAACTCCCCTCCGCCAGGTCTCCCCCCGGGCAGCAATCCAAGAGCTGGCTCCTTTCGCCACTGCGCTGCCCCTCGAACTCAGCACTGCCCCAGAAACTGGGTCACTTGGAGGAGGCCCCCTTCCTCTGGCGGGAGTTTCCCGATTCTGCCCCCCACCTCTCAGGCAAGACTTGACTGCCCCTCTGCACGCGTGTCAGCGGAGCAAGGGAAAAAAGCGCATCCCCAGTGGGAAGCAATCTTTTCCCATTGCCCGTCTCTCCCCACCATCGGGGCGATGAGAAGACCATTTTATAACCTGCTCCATCCCGTGCGGAGACAATTACGGCTGCGCCCTTTCTTTTCAGCAGGCGGCCTTGAGCGAGCTCTTCCATTAGGGCTCTGCCGTTCCCTTCGGGGCACAGAAGGGATTGTGAATTAAGACAACAACCCCAGATCCCTTTCGCATCTCTGTCTGCCTCTCTGCCTTCCAAATCAGGACACAGACAAGTTACCCTCCCCTGAACAAAACGTGTGTGTGTGTGTGTGTGTGTGTGTGTGTGTGTGTGTGTGTGTGTTGCCCTGAAGGGGGTGAGGGGAACCCATGTGCAGGAGTCTTAAGTGTTCACCTCTTTCTCCCCCCGTCCGAGGCCCACCCTGCAGCGGCTACGCCAGTCACGGGCTACACTCTCCCTTCGCATTCCCGAGACTTGTAAAATATTAATCCGGCAACTTCGCTCGCTGCCCTGAATCCACTATTTTAAGACAGCCAGGCAACTCCAAGAGGCTGTGCCGGCACCGACACAGAGCGGATGTGTGAAGTCGCTGGTTAACAAAAGATGGCAAGATGCATGCGGCGAGAGGAGGAAAAGAGAAGATCGGCCTATTTCGGGCACGTCGTTTTGCGGGGGTTCATGCATATGCCTGCTTTAACCTCTTTCCGCTTTAATCAGCAATATATATCTGTATGCAAATGCATACATAAGTAATTCAGTAGTTCTGTTGGAATAAACTGGCTGGCAAAATGCTCGCGTGTAAATGTGTTTCTCTAAATGTGCACGTCATGCATTTTGGGCTGCTTATTGAGCTGAGAAAGGCACTGCCAGACCCAGAGAACTGCAGAACCTGCAAGATGATTATTTCCCACGGATCGGGTCTGAGCACATTCGGAGCCACCCAAACCGCCTTCCTCGAGCATCCCTCGTGGTGGCGTCACATCTCCAGCAAGAAGAGCAAGCAAGCATCCGGCCCGACTTGCGAAAGGCCCTGCACGGCCCACTGCTCACCCTGTACCGCTGTTTGTGAAAGCACACCTGGCTCGAATTTCTAAGGGCCGAGGGAGGAAGGAGGAAGCGGTGGAGCAGGGCCGGATCTGAGTTCACCCTGGTTCTTTTGATGTCAGAACAAGACTCACACCTCCCTTCATGCGGGAATGCAACACACACAAAATGTGGCTTCTGCTCTCAGGCCTAGCTTGGCCTCCTGCACTGTGAATGAATGAGGGCGGCTTCTCAGTGGCTGGGAGAAGAAACGGGTTGATCCAGGAGCAACGCTGATGCTTGGAAAGGACCCACTCTCCCCGGGAGCACTGGGAGAAAGACGTACTCTGCCTTAGCCGTCTCTCACCTGGAGTCCTCCAGATGTGCCGGCTAAAAGGCCAACACATGCCCAGCCAAATGGCCTCTGTGACAGCTGGGGATGAGGGGACTGATGGCCCTGGGGTGGGCAGGGCTGTTGTGCCCCTTCGTGCTCCCTCTGAGAGCGAGTGAGGTGCCGACCAGGACCGGGAGGACCCCGGACAGGCCCGGACCCACAAAGCTCATTGTGTCATTTCCTGGCAGTCATTACCTCCAAGACCAGCCTACCTCACAGGGCTCTTGTGAGGATCAATGGGGGTGGTGGGAGAATCCTATAAAAGAGCCAGTGTGGTGTACAGAGTGGGGCTCAGGCGATCCGGGATCGAGTCCCCGCTCAGCCATGGAGCCAACTAGGTGACTTTGGGCCAGTCACAGACCCTCAGCCGACCTTCCTCACAGGGTTGTTGTTGTGAGGATAAGACTGAGAGGAGGAAGAGAATTATGCAAGCTGCCATGAGTTTGTTGGAAGGAAAAAGGGTGGGATATGCATATAATGAATGCTACCCTGAGCAACCTGAATTAAAACAAAAATGCAAGTAATTAATCAATTATAAATAAATTAAAATATTTCCCCTCTCCCCTTCCCATTTCTTTTTGTATCATGGGTTTTTTTTTTCCAGATTGTAAGCCTGTGAACAGGGATTGGTTGCTTGATTGATTATATGTAAGCTGCCCTGAGAGACACCTTTGCTGAGGAAAAGGCACAAAAATGCTTTAGACAGACAGACAGACAGACAGAGACTGTTGTGGGCAATGCCACTCCCCCTCCAGGGCTATTCTGAAACTCCAGGTGTGGGGAAGGCATGGGGGCTCAACCAGCCCTCCGGGGTCCTCCTGAATGGCCACGCCCCTTTCCCAGGCTCCACCCCCGGTCAGCCCACGGCTGGATTTGGCCCTTGCACGGAAAGAGGGCTCAGCAGAGCTCAGTGGCTGTCGGCGGAGGGGCCCCTCCTTGGCATACCTGTGATGGCGTGATGCGAGAAGGCCTCCACGTAGATGAGATAATTGTGTGGGCAGTGCTTCTTGAGCCACCTGCACACATCCTGCTGGGTCCACAGCACCACCGGCTTGGTAAGGCTGCCTAGAGTTGGGCTGGTGTGGTAGATGCCGTAATGGTCGTAGGTCCGGCCCTAGAGAGGTTGGCAACACAGGAAAGGAGAGCGGAGGCATCCGTGAGCGTCCTGGGAAGAATCCAGCCGGTGTCGTGTGCGCGCACTTTGCCAGTTTGCCCATGCGTGTGCACAATCGGCAGTCCGTGTCGGTGGGAACGCAAGCTCAGTTCAGGAGGAAGAGATTCTCACAGAATCTCAGGAAATTCCAGCAGCAGGGCAAGGCCAGGAAATGTCTGGAGAGGCACGGGATGAGGGGCGGGCAAGAGCCCCTTTCCGGAATGGGGTGGAGCCCGAGGGTGGGCCCGATCCGTAGCAGGGGAGTGGGGACAGGGAGCTCAGCAGCCTGCCTGACATAAGAGGTGACATCCGCTGCCAGGCAAGAACACCAGCGGGAGGTTCAACTGGGAGAGAAACGGGAAGAGCAAATGTGGGCAAGGTTCCACAGCGCTCCTGCAAGAGCCAAATGCCAAAAGGCGTTACTCACAACCTTCAGAGACAGCAAAAGCAAACCTGTTAATTTATAGTTTTAGAAAGCTCTGAGTCCTAACTGACCATTTGATTTGCATGAGTGCGGACTCCTGAATGCCCATTTAGGCAGGGAAAAAACCCCCTCAGCTCCCAGCATGCAGGACTTTTCTCTGTCTAAACACGCACATGGTTGCACTCCAGAATATATTTTTCCTGGGGGTGATCCTTGATCAAGCAGATCACCACAACAAAAAGACTTCTCCAAGGGATCTGAAAACAATGCACAAGGGAAGGCAAACTGCGGGTGAGGAGGTTCAGCTCACAAGGCCGGCTCAACATGCCAGCGGTAGTTGAAATGGGCAACTTGCGTGGCTCCAAACTGCATTTCAGAGAAGCTCTTTGGGCCACATGACATTGGTGGGTGGGGCCAAGACAAAAGGGGGCGGGGCCCAGACAAAAGGGGCAGGGCCCAAATGCCAGCCTATTGTAGTTGGAAGCTCTTCCTGCCAGGAGCTAAGTGGTAGGAGAAGCTTTTCAACCTTCCAGATACTACTCAGAAGCTGGGGGACCAAGTGGTTGGTGGTTTGGGAAAATGAATATGGTTGGAGGTTCTGCATTCCTGCTTGAAGAGGACTACAAAACCCAGCTGGAACCTGGAAGAGAAACCCGAGCGCACATTCAGAGAGGCAACTGACGCTATTTCTCCCAAACTGGCTCCTTTTCTCTTAGGTGTCTCCCAGAAGAATAAGAGGCAAAGCATCTACCCTCCCCAGCTGACCTGCCGGCAGATCTTTCCCTAGCAATACAGCATAGATTAGAGGAAGGGATCCATCAATGTCCCCAGAAGGGACTGGACTCCAACTCCCATCAGCCCAGACAGCATGGCCAATGGCCAAGGACGAGGGCGTTGTGGTCCAACGTGATCGGGTGGGCGAGTGAGTCACCAGACAGAATAGACGGCTTTAACGGCTTCAATGGGGCACTGGGCAAATTCATGGAGGAGAAGGCAACCACTCGGCTGGGGCCTCCAGGCTGCTTCTAGGAGCCGTGACAGTATGTTGATAGACACCAGTTGCTGGGGAACATGGGTGGGGGGATACTGTTGCATCCGTGTCCTGTCTGTGGGTTTCCACGGGTGACTGGCAGGCCACAGTTTGAACAGAATGCTGGACTAGTGGGACCCCTGGCCTGATCCAGTATCGAGGCTCTTCCATATTCTCGGACTTGTCCACTAGAAATGGCATTCCAGATCCTACTCTGAACCCAAGAATGAATCCAGGATGCTAAAAAATCGCCTTTTTCCATACAAGCCCCTTACACATTATGATTCTTTTTGTGGCCTCTACTATATGGGTGCGCTCTCGCTCTTGCGCTCTCTCTCTCTTGGATTGGCGTAGGGCTGAGATGGAGTTTGCATGTCCCCTTAGTTGGCCAAGAGGATCCTTTTCCATTGGGCTTTTGGGATTCTAGGAGAAAAAACTGGGGAGGAGGAGGCAGGCCACCAACACAAACGTAACGAAGGAGGGGAATCTCAAGTGGGTACAGGGAAAAGGCTGGTTGATTAGGCCCAAAGCTTCTGAACTTTGCATGGAAAGTTGGGTCCTGTTGTATTAACAGAGGCAGCACCCTGGTGAGCACAGCCGTCACACGGATTCCACTCGGCAGTGACCCTATTGTCCTACCGGCCAAGCTGGCCTGCCTTGCCCTTCCAGGAAAAGCTGCCCCACGAGGGTTGAAGGCAGCCCCTGTCCGACCAAGCCCGGAGGCAGCAAGCTCTGTCTTCCTAGCAGCCCCCCCCAGCCTTTCAGATCTCACTCCACTTTTTGTTATAACACAATTGGTGTCGCATCGCTGCTCCGGCTGAGCTGTCACTCGGCATCTCCTTCCACCTGGCGACAAAGTGGATGTGGCATCGCGGGGGACAGGTAGGTACAGTCGTTCCGGTTGTCTGCCGCTCTGCCGTTTAAGAATCCAATTACCAGTGATGCTCAAGGCGGCAGCGCATCACCCCTTCGCTGGGTTCCACTCCAAGGGTTTTTTCCTACTAGCTTCTCTTCAAGCACATCAGTCCTGGGTCAGGAAGACTCAGAGATGGGGATTCTCTCCTCGCATGTGCAAACCAGCAAAATGCGAGCGCTTCGCAGTTCTCCAAATGCCACCTCAAGGCTGATTCTGACCCAGGTTCATTTCAGTGGGGCCTCACAAGTCTGGACGCCTTTCCACCAAATGGACGCATCAACTGTGCAAATTCTTCTCCCATTGATTAAAGTGTGTCTGTGAGCATTCATTTCATGTCCTTTTTACAAATGCAGGAATTTGTTGAATGCTTTTTTGTTCTTTGAATTGTGTTGCATGTGTAAAAATGTATGGATTTCAACTGCAGCTGGCTTTTGAGTCTGCATTCTGGTTTGGGAGGTATAAGTTGGGTAAATTCTGGTCAAAAACAAACCAGAAGGAATTTGCCATCAATCCCTAGTTTTCCCATCTCAACCCCCTCAGTTCTAGGACACAAAAGTTCTAGGACTTCTCACAGCTCCAGGATATTGCGTGGCACGGAGTCATGTTCTGCTAATATTGCCGTTTAAAAGCCCGGGTTGTCTCAGAAAAATGCTGCACCCTGCACAACAGATCTTGTCTGGAGCATTCAGAATTCAGTTTTGCAGGAGATCTCTGCTAACCACAAACATCAGCTAATTTGGCAACAGTCGATGCTTGCAGGGAAACCGCTTCTGCTGAGAATGTTTGTCTACAAGTGCTCCATCTTGTTTTCTTGCTCTTACACTGAAGACAAGGGCAAAGGAGTGTGGACTGGCAGCCAGACCTGGCCTCCGAGGGTCCCAGCTTGGCCTGGGGGGGTCCCCAGAAGGCCACGCCTTTTCCTTGGCCCCCCACTTCCTCCTAAGCACTAAACTGTGGGAGGTTTCCCAGCTTTCCTTCTAAGTGGGCAGACTGCCTCTCTGGAACGTTAGCTGCTGGCAGCTAAGAGCAATCTGGGTTTCGCCCCGTTGCCTTGCTCTCCATTCACCCCGAGAATGTGGCCCCAGAGAGCACCTCCGGAACGGAATTCTGCATCCCTGCTTTTAAACACTGGGAATGTTGCACTTGTGGCTGCCATCTTTTTTGGGGACTTCATTTTTCAAGAACTGCTTGGAAACAGGGGAGGAGACAAGCTAGATAAATACGGCCTGAATTTGCACTGGTTGGACATTTAGGGTTTCCGGGGTGCATAACGCGTCTCGCTGTCCTGATCAGCCCTGCAGACGTTTACACTCCAAGTGGTCAGGGCTGGTTTAATCCTCTGGACAGGAAGAAAAGAGGCAGCTGGTTAATACCAGGCTGTGCTTTGGAGGCATCCAGCAACGCGGTTCCAGAAATCTGGAGCCCAGCCCTTAGGGTTGCCTTCTGAGTGGCAGCCAGCACAAAGACCAAGCTGGGGCTGGAGCCTCATTCTGCCCCCCTTTCCATCAATAAACTGCCCAGCAGGGGCAACTACGCCCCCCCCGGTGGAACTATTGTGATAATAACTGCATCATACAGGGGGGGTCAGTTGAGGTCCGCCTTTAACCCCAGTATGTCACTTGGGGCCCGGTGCACGTGCTTATTTTTCAGCTGCCCACTGTCCTCCTTGTCTCTCCGTCTCTTGCAGGAAGGCCTTGTGGCTCCATGAAGGAGTGAATAGTTCCCACACAGGCGTTCCAGGTTCACTCCAGCCAAAAGGTCCTGGTGATATCGGGAAGACCTCTGCTGAAGACACCAGACACCAGAGCAGTGCGGCCCTCCCTAGCCTGTTACCCTCGAGGCACTTGCACTTTCAGTCCCATCTGCCCCAGCCCAAATGGCCCAGGATGCTGGGGATGTGCTCTAAAAGGGCAGCAGAGCACAGGGCCTGAACTGGTTTGAGATGGCTCTCACTGCTCCTCTTTTGTCTGAACACACGAGGTCGCCTCTGGCCGTCTGCATCCTTCCGAGCCCAATTCGAGGTTGCAGGTTTTAACCTATCAAGCCCTACACAGTTTGGGGCCACGATACCTGATGGAATGCGTCCCCTGACCTTCTCCCACTTGGACACTACAGTCAGGTTTTGGAGCCTTCCTCCAACTGCCACCACCTCAGATGCTGGCGACAAAGAGAAGGGCCTCTTCAGTGGTGGCCTCTCAGTTGTGGAACAAGCTCCCCTCTGAGGCCTGCCTGGCACCATCTTTAACTATCTTTCGGGCACTAGGTAAAGACCATCCACTGCTGCAGGGCATTCAAGTTGTTTACTGGGGCCGGCTAGCTGTTAAACAGACCAATTATGGAAATTAATTAATAAATTAATAAGTAAGTCCAGCTGGATGGACAGCAGGTGGAGAGGGGAAGCTCGCTCGCTCTCTCTCTCTCTCTCTCTCTCTCTCTCTCTCTCTCACACACACACACACACACACACACACACACACCCATCTTGTGCAAGGACAGTCCTCGCCAGAGCACCGGGGAAGAGCCAGCCATGGCTGGACCACTGGTTTTCAGAGTCCTCTAATGGAGACAGGAAGCTGCAGTGAAGTGGAGCCTTGTGCACTGAGGCGGTTTCAGCAAGAATTCTGTCTGCTCTTGCGTTTGCTTTGCACCTGCAATTCTCACACGGGGTCCCCACACACTGGCAGTGGAGCAACAGGGACCAAGATGCCTCCAGCCATCTTTCTTGGCACCCCACAAGAAAGGTACATGCTCTGCCCCTCCCACTGTAATCCCCCCAAAATGCTCTTACTGCCAGCTGGGATTGCCACAGAGCTGAAAACTCTGGGTCCACAGGAGCTGCTCCAGGTATCGGGCTTTTGCACTAGCCCTTCGGGCAGGTTACTTGCCCTTTGCCATGGCAGCCCTTTTCTGGGGGTGCTCGGGAGCTTCCCAAATTGCCAGCCAGGCCCACAGCCCCACACGGCCCCCAGCCCCTTCGGGTGTCTTCTTCTGAACCTGCAAAACCTCAGACCATCTCATGCTTTCCCTGAAGCGGCCGCTTTCCAGCACCTACGCCCTGAATCTTTTGGCCAGCCCTTTCTGCAATTTAAAAAGAAATCTTTTGGGGAGCAAACCCTTGTGAGCTGATTCTGGTTTGAGTGTCTTTCAGAAAGCCCAATGCTTAAAACAGAAACTAGCTGGAAACGTTAGGGCCCCAGTATCTTTCTTCCAAGACTGAATATGGAAATTTTTCCAGAAGCCTTGGTGCCCAAGAGTGACGGCATTTCCTCCCAAAAGAAGCTGAGCCCACAGTGGCCATTATCCAAATAACCCTCCTCACTCCACAGTAATAGGGACCCTGCACAACCAGCAATTTTCCCCAGACAGGAGTCAGCCATATATTACCCGTGGTACTTAATCTCAACCTCCCTCTCTCTCTCTCTCTCTCAAATTGGCAAACTGTCTGATTTCGCCTCTCTTCCTCTCTCTGCTTCCCAAACTGGCACACATTGCCTCCAATGCGAACCATAAATGGAACAGATGCAGCCGAGCACCTGGAGGCGATTTTTTAGCCTGCTAAAAGGGAAGCCCCCCCGCCATCTTTTCCTTCAAGACTGAAGGCAGCAAGTTCTCTCTTTCTGCCCCTCCCCTCGTAATGCTCCTCTCCGGCAGAAGGAGCCGAGTTCTGAAAAAGCTGCTGACATGTATAGCTCTACTTTAGAGCACGAAGGAAAAAGTAGCAGGTTGCACTGGGGTTTGACCCTGCCTCCTGGTCCTAAGTTTTACTTAGGACTTGTTTTTCATAAAATTCCTGGCTTTATCATGTTATTTCTGCTGCTTGCTTTGATCACTGTGTGCAGCTTGTTCTGTATTTTATGCTGACTGGATTTTATGCTGTCCTGGATGGAATCGTTTCTTTCTTGCTACGGTTTTATAGTTTATGCTGCTGGTTACTGTTTTTGTGAGCTATCCAGACATCCCTCGTGCTGCAGGGCGGCATGCAAATGTAATAAGCAGGCAGGCAGGCAGGCAGGCAGGCAGGCAGGCAGGCAGGCAGGCAGACTTCAGACCTCATGTGCCCTGTCTGCAGAGTAGCCCAGGGGTCTGCACGGTACCTGGGAGCCCTCCGTTCCGGGCTGCTGAAGCAGCTTCACAGTTCTGCCTCCGGCAGACCTCTGGCTTCTCCCATCGTGCCACGTCAGGCTGCTGCCCGAATTCCTCTGCAGGCGGTAGTTGAGGTTCTCGGCGGAGACGGTGTGCTCCAGCAGGTTCTGGCAGAAGCTGAAGTGGGCCGCTGCGGCTGTCGGCAGAGAAGGAGCACACTCAGCACCAACGGCAAGGAGAGCAGCGCCACCGACCACCTCCCCCCCGGAGGACTTTTGTTTCCCCACTGCCATTTTATGGAGAGTTAATAATCCTGTTGACCTTTGACCCCACCATGCGGTCCCCCTCCATTCACCCATGGTAGGGATGCAGACCTCAGGCATCCATCCAGGAGCCAAATCCGACCCCCTGAACTCCTCTTCCTCTGGTCTGCTCCACCAGTTCTTGGCTGCTTTCCTGATCTTCCATGCAGCCGTTGTGAAATATTGAAACAACCGCGCTAAAGCTCAGTTACTGGCAGGACCTGGCGTTCTGCCCCCCCCCCCTTTGGCTTCGCCCACCAGGCGCAAAAATGCTTCGGCACCCTGGAGGCGCAACGTTAAGGCATCCCCAGCTCACAGTGCCCTGACCTCTAATCCCTGCACTGGCTCTTAGGCAATATTTGCAATTTCACTTCAACTTCAGAGCATTTCACATAGAGTTCCTCAGTCCCTGAATTAATCCTGTAAGGTAGGCGCACATTATTATCAACATAGTCGTATTATTATTGCATTACATTTTATCCCACTTTTTTCCCTCTTGCAAGGAACTCTAGGTGACTTACATAGCTTCATTTTTCCCAACAACCCTGTGAGGTCGGTTGACCAGGGTACAAACAGCAGTCTTTTGTTGGAAGATAAATAATTGAGTCGAGATTTGACCCAGGGGCCCCGGGTGGCGTGGTTCTCCACTCACTCTCTCAGCTTTTGGCCTTCCCTGTAAGCAGCACAGAGACCCAAAATCTTCCAGTGATGGATCGTCCAGTTACTGCCAGATTAAATGACTCCAGTGACCTTAGCATGAGACTCCCCTTGAAAACGTCACCTGGGACAAAATCCCCGATTAGGCTGTTAATGGGTGCTCAGTTACTGGTCCACAGTGTGCCAACAGGACATCAGTTGTTCTGCCTCCCATTCATTCCCAGTCCCCTATGCAAGGTATCGGTTTTTGCCTTCAAAGCCCTAACTCTGGGCAGGGCAACACGCGCAGGCTCCACACAGAGGCATTTGTGCAGCCCTCACGTGATGCCCGCTCCACGGCCACCCCGCTGCCCGCACCACGGCCACCCCGCTGCCCGCACCACGGCCACCCCGCTCCTGTGGCTGCAGCCCCGCCAGACAGCAACTGGATGGACCAGAAAAAGTCCCATCCAACCCTTCCCCGTGCTGCCGGAAAAAGGTTGGATGGGGCACGTCATCTTTCCTGGAGCACTGCTGTGATCAGGGAGAAGTTAAAGCTCCGGCATCAACAAGGCTGTTTATCTGCTCCAGATTTTACAGTGAACTGGAAAGAAGATGTCCTTGGTGCTGAGCTGGGGGAATATGATTCAGCTCTGAGTAAAACCTGGAGGGGATGCTCAGTTCCACTGACCTTGGAACCAGCAACCTCCACCGGTGGGTAAGGAGCCCCTGGCCACCCACCCAATACCAAAGGCAACCTCAGTGCAAGGGAAGGGGCCACCCCTCCCCTAAAGGGTCTGGGGTCTGGGCAGCCAAAGGGCTCCCTTTTCCTCCAAGGCCCTGATCCGCTTTCCTTATCCCTTTGGAATTTGGAGTGGGTGGGCGTTTGCAGGCAGGGACTTTTGTTGGTAGCCCCCCGTTCTTGGAATTCTCTGTCTTGGAAGCCCCAGGAGATCACCTTTTAAGAAGGCAGGCCAAAAGGCGTTTGTTTAAGCTGTCCTTTATGCAGCTGTTCCTTCCCCTTCCCTCCTGCAGCAGCGGCTTTTCTGAGGGCTGTTACTTGGTTTTGGCACTGCTGCTCTTTGCCTGAAATAGTTTCATCATCACATGTTTTTCTAATGAGCTACCCTGAGTTGTTGCTGGAATGCAACATATAAAGTATACATTCATAAATAAAATATAACACAACAATCTGAAATAGGAATAAGCACACCCAGATCCTGTGCATTTTTATTTGCATTTTAGTGCATATTTATTTGAATTTTCACTAAATTTAGAGGGACCTATTTCTAACAGGGGACTGCAGGTGGCACAGTGGTTTAAACTGCTGTGCTGCTGGGCTGGTTGACTGAAAGGTCGCCGGTTCGAATCTGCACAACGGGGTGAGCTCCCGTTGCTCCGTCCCAGCTCCTGCCATCCTTGCAGTTCGAAAGCATGCAAATGCAAGTAGATAAAAAGGTGCCACTTCAGTGGGCAGGTAACAGCGTTCCGTGCACTTTGGTGTTTAGCCATGCCGGCCACATGGCCACGGAGACTGTCTGCGGACAAACGCTGGCTCCCTCGGCCAGGAAACGGAGATGAGCACCACCCCCTAGAGTCAGGCATGGCTGGACTTCACGTCAAGGGGAAACCTTTACCTTTACCTTTTATTCCGAACCGTGTTGCACGATAAGTCATCTCCTCGGCCAAGCTAGGATTGTTGTTGCTGTTGCAACAACAGCAACAGCCCCACGAATGAAAGTCCTCTAAAAAGTCCCATGCATGATAAGCTCCATTCAGTTCTTCCAAGGTCAAGGCTGTGACTTCCTGGATGGAGTCCATCCATCTCCTATTCGGTTTCCCTTTCCTCTTCTGCCTTCGACTTCTCCTAGCATGATTGTCCTCTCCTGGGAGTCTTGTCTTCTCATGATGTGTCCAAATTATGACAGCCTCAGTTTTGCCATTTTTGCTTCTAGGGAAAGTTCTGGCTGGATTTGATTCAGGACTTCCTTGTTTTTCTTTCCGTCGGCACATGTGGAATGTGCCGCAAGAGGCGCTGGTCTTGTTTCTCACTGGTTATGTTGGCACACCACCTATTCTGATGGCCTATTTGGAATTGTGATGCCATCAATAGCTTCCTGTCCATGACAGAGGTATGCATCAGGCAATCAAATGCTGAGGGAACCCGTTTTCGTTCAGGACCATCCAAAGCTTCTTGTGATCCACAGAGTCACAATCAACCATAGACCAATCATCTTCTGAAATTCTTTAGTGCGCTTGGGATACTTCTGTTGGTATCCTACCTACCCCAGTTGCTTTATTCTTTGCAAGCACTTTCACAAAGAAGCTTTCACTTGGCATGCTAATATTGTAGGTTCTTTTTCCTAGGATTCTGCTTTGAGGGAGTCAGTCATCTTTTCATATCTTCTGTGTAGTTCTTTGGTATATCCTTTCCGTCTTCTCTTGTATACTATGTTCCCTTGTCTGTCTTTTAGCATTTCCAATCCAAGTTTGAATTTTCTTTTGATTTCCTGGACCTTCTGGAAGAGGTCTCTTTTTCCCCTCTTCTATTTCTTCGCACTGTTCATTTTAATAGTTCTTTTTGTCTCTATGTTATAGTCATTGCAAAGATGCATTCAGCATTCTGCCAGCTTTTGCTTTTGTTTCTTGCCTGTCCTTTGCAACTGTGAGTGTTTCTTCTGTCATCCCTAGAGGCTTTTTCTTTCTTGTTGCTACAGGAATAATCTTTTGGCATTCTTCTCTAATAGAGAATCTAGTTTCAGCCCACAGTTCTTCTGGCTCCTGGTCAATTAAACTGAGCAATACAAATCTGTTCTTTATGTGGACTTTAAATTCTTCTGGGATTTCACTTTTGTATTTTGGCACTATATGTTTCTGTTTGTGATCCCTTTTAGCTTGACTCTGATTTTTGAAATTAAGAGCTGATGGTCACTACTGCAATCCTCTCCTGGCCTTGTTTTGGCAGCAAGAATGCAGGTTCTCCACTTTCTGCTTCCAATTATGCAATCTTGCTTTTGTATTAGCTGTCTGGTGATGCCCATGTATACAAGCATCTAAGCACTTGCTCGAAGTCTGCGTTTGTAATGAACAAGTTGCAGATTTCACAAAACTCTATGCGTCATTCTCCTGCTTTGTTTCTTGCACCTACGTAGGCCAAATTTTCCAACTTGATTCTGTTTTGCTTACTACCTTTGCATTTCAATCACCTAGAATTAGCGGCATGTCTTGTTTTGATGTGTTATCTATTTCCTCTTGAACACCTGTATAGAAGGTTTTGGTATTTTCTTCCTCAGCATCTGCTGTTGGAGTGTAGACTTGAACGATGGTTATTTTGATAGGTTTTCCACACATTCTGACCGGATTTTGCCTTATAGCCTCATACCGCCTGTGCCCCGTCTTGCCTTAGCATGAGGCCCACTGCATTTCTTCCGAGTTCGTCATTCCCAGAGGAAAACACTTTGCGTTTATCTGATTGAAAATGTCCCTCTTAGTTCACTTTAGTTTGCTCACAGCAAGTACCGTGATGGTCATTCCTTCCATTTCTTGCTTTACAATTTCCACTTTGCATTGTTTCTTGTGTCCCACTATGCTAACAATGCCTTATGTTCTTACACTTCTTATGCGCTGCCCAGAGAGGTCCGCCTGGCGCCGTCGTTATTTGTTTTTCGGCGCCAGGCTAAGACCGTTTTATTTAAAACTTATTTTAATTGTTAATTTATTCTGTATTTATAGGATTTTAAATTCTTAGCCGAGATGTTACCAGGCTTTTTAATCCTTATTGTATTTAGCATTATTTGTATGTTTTTAATTATGTTGTGAGCCACCCCGAGGCTTTGTTGCGATGGGGGCGGCATAGAAATGTTTTAAATAAATAAATACATACATACATACATACATACATACATACATAAATGTTCCATGTCCCAATTGTATGTGAGGTACAACATCAGACTTTCCTTTAATCTCTGCATGCCGGTCACTAGACTCCCTTTCAGCTTTGATCTGCTGCTCCGCTTTGTCCTTTGCCCTTCCAGCCTGGGAATCTCTTCTTCTGGCATTATTTTGTGTTTCACTTTCGATTGTTTCATCATAGGGTTTTTGAGGCAAGAAAATTCGGAAGTGGATGACTACAACCTTCCTCTGTGCAGCACTAACCAGAGTCAGGTTGACTCTGCTGTGTCTCTGTTGTTTTATGTGAAAGATCTTCCACCAGGATCACCTTCAATGACTGCTGCTCCCCTTATGGAAGTTTTCCCAG